AGGAAGGCCGGGTCTGCCCGGCTCGGCAAAGGTTATTCGACTTCGAGAGTCTGTGTATGATTTATGGAGGGCAAGGAAAACAACAATGGGTTTCGGTAACACTACAGACAGTGCTTTTGCAGAAATGTTATTGCATTGTTCCTACGATGGAACTAGAGACTCCGGGGAGATTTTTTCGAGGTGAGAATAATTATTTGACTGATTTTTACTTGAGATCCTGAGATATGTATGTAAGCGATCTCATTTGTACAAGTCATTATTCTATAATTGAAATGCGTAAAGTAAATCAGTTTTGGCCAATATTGGTTATTTGTTTATATTTTATTTAGTGTTGAAGCCGAACAATTTCCTTCAACATCAAGTAAGCTTTGTACAAGTTTTATACACAGACTCGATTTATGATTTTTCAGTCTCAAATATTTAGCTGCAAATTTGTTTACTGTGTTCTTCACCAAATCTTTGTTTTTCTTTTTAATAGTGTTTGTGAATGACTATCAGAGTTCGCCATTTAACAATAGTGCGATTCCAAAACAAAAACAAACGACTGCAAAGGATCTCGGATGAAAATGGGCCTTTAAAACAAATGCTTCTTACATCATTGTCAGGTTTATCAGCATTATCAACTTTGGAGGAATCTGAATCTGAATTAGGTTCCTCATCCTACACAGGTAATACAAGCCACGTTAGCAGAAAAAATCACATCACAGTTGCCCCAATGGTACATGAATGAGCAAAGTACAGACTGTGATCATTAATTTAGCTGCTAAGTAATGAACGGAACTTTGGTAGTGAAAAATGTCAGCTGGCAAATGGCTAACCAATAAGGTACTTTAAAGTGAAGAAATTAAGCTTTCCTTAAAAATTGTCCAATGGAAAAACAAACAACTACAGGGTAGGATATTTATTTCATATTTGTATCAGTCAACATTAACACTATGGCTTTCTTATGATGCTTGTTTTATAATTTACTGGATATTTATAGGGTAATGTTGCAAATAATTTTTGTGCACCAGGAATTCACTCTTCATAAAAACCTCAGTTAATTAAATAATTAGGATCAATACAGATTTTTAGTTAACTTGTCATAAAATTACCTTTAATCTTTCGCACAATGAGTGCAGTAACATAGTTAATATTTCATACTTTCAAAGCCACTTAATCATTAACAATTTTATTGGTTGAAGTTAATAGTTGCCGCTCTGCATGCCTGAATAAAAATACTGTTATCTGGTTATGGCATGGAGACTGATTCCTGCACAATCGTTGAACTTAAATCATCTTCCTTGTCAAAATTGTCAAAAACCAAAGTCCAAAAGTGTAACAAATTTGAAGTTCAAAACAATTTATGAACTCACATCACCAACTGGAGCTGGTTTCTTTACTTTCTTTTGCTTTTGGGGCTTCTTCTTGCCAGTGCCAAACTTTTTGTCATAAATATCTCTGTAAAAAAATCATTGAAAAATGTAAAAATGAAGGGATGTTTTTCAATGGAAAGCACTGCTCACTTGAACAATCAAGTGTTAACCCTTTACAGTCAAATGTCAGTGTTCATACTCTTCATACTGCTCTCTATACATTTTCTGAGCTGAAATGGAGAATCTGCCCATAGATTTAACATCCTAAGTTAAAGAGCTTTTATTTATCTCTTTAATACCCAAGAGTGCTATATGGCATAAGATGCCATTACATGCTCAATACACCTGCAATCACAACTGCAACTTTTTGTCTTTGTACTGTTTTGGTCCAGGTGAGATCTCACAACAGTCAATGCTCTGAGGAGCTACAATTTAAGCTATAGTTAAGCAGTATAACCTATATGTATGAGAAAGATGAACAATTTCAAGGTTTTTTTCTTTCACTTTGGAGACTTGTAAGTCTTGTCAGGTTCCCACCCAACACCTATCTGACAGTATCTCACCTGAGTTCCTTGTACTTGGTAATGTGGTCCTTGAAATCACTTAACAACAATCAAAATCAATCAAAACATTTATAAAAATGCTCAGCGATACTACACAACAAAACGTTTAATAAGTTATCTATTATCCAACACGCCAAACTGTTATTTCAGTGCGGGCGAATTTTGCATATATTGATTTAAGGGGAGTGCGTAACAGAAGTATGCAAAGCGGAACAGAATTGGCGCATTGTTGTGTCGCTGTTTCTATTTAATTAAATGAAGAAATTTTCTGGTCGTCAAGCTCTTTTTCTTCGTTCGATTCATCTAATGAACTTGGAGCTATATTTGCCAGCCATTCCGACTCTTCGTCGTCGGAAATATGATTCAAATTGTCGGCCACTTTTTTTTTTTCCGTAACTACAATCCAATTCTTCGCTTGCGTGATGCGAGAAAACCTGTTTAACCAGTACTACAATAGATGAGTACAAATACTGCATGTTTGTACTCGTCTATGTCGTTATTTGTACTCGTCTAGGTGTAGTTGGATAATAAAGTACTGTATTTACACACATATAATATGCACTTTATTTCTATAAAAATAACCATCAAAATTGCCGTGCGTATTATGCACGGATTCCATTGTCTGTCACGCACGTCCTAATTTGCATACATTAAAAACATAATAAAGAAAGTAACACATTTAAAGCTTGAATTAAATAGCCTATTTTTCAATGAAAAGTTATAGTGCATATTAAGTTTTTACTCTAAAATCAAGAGGAAAGACAAAAATCGCTAAATATTTTTGCAAGTGTACAAACAGGCATGTGGATCAGATTTCAAAGCGAATATGCAAATTTTGCCATGTGTGAAGAGATCTCTCGTTACACGGAATTTTTCAATGAGAAGCAAGATGAACGTGAGCAACAAATATTTCAGGACAAAAGCTTTATTTAAAGCAGTTCTTGATTTGCCATTATAAGCAAAAAACGTGCGAATTTCTTATGTGTACAACGAGTGTGCAGTGGAATTCATCGTAGCTATATTGTTGTTTACTTGACTTTATGGCCAAAAAAATGCGTAGCATTGGGTCGAAAATTCTAAAAATATGACAATTTGATATAAAGTCTTCAATACTTTCTGGACATATTGTTGCTCACTCATAATATTTACCGGGCCATGGAATCATCAAATTAGCTAGGCCTCACTTGAAGTCCTAAAGTTTGGTTTCAATAATGTCATAAATAACTAAGTAGCAAAAGATATTGGTGTTAATGATATAGTAAATTTCTTATTCTTGTTGTATCAATAAATAATTGTACAAAGATTTAACTTGTCATTTTTGCTGTGAAAAACTTTTCTTTGATAAATTTAGTTAAAAACAAGGGTGCATATTATATATGGGTAAATACGGTATATAATCAAATAGGGCATACTGAATAACAGATAACCAGAAAGAACATATAAACATTTTTTTAAATACAAGGTTGCTGTGTTAGACCTATCAACAGTAATTGATTTAGCTTATATCCAAACTATTATAGTCTACTTCCAAGGCAGTTATAACTACATGAGCCAAAACTCCCTTAGTTAGTTAGTTAGATTAGTTAGAAACTTTATTAACATGTCAAAGAACCTTCTAGTTTGGGAGATATCCCATACTAATGTGGGAACACAAATAAAATGGATAAAAATTATTTACAAAGAATATTACCTACTTAAGAATAAAATTAAGTCATATCATGTATGAAAAAATATGAAATGAATTAAGAAGTACATAGAGCACAGCCCCTGCAGCCATCATCTAATAGGGAGCTGAGGTCACGCTTACATATGCGGTTTTTGAAACTAGCTAATGTTGTGGCTGATCTGTCAGCCCTTAAAGAAAAAATATTCGTGTTAATATTGAAATAACAAAATTGACTCTGACAATTTAACCCTTATATCACTATATTCTCCATAATGTTCTCTATTCATTTCCTAAGTTGCTGACAAGAAGAATTTGTTTAAATATGAACAGCTTCTTTAGTTGGTGATACTTAACAATTATTCCACGAGTATATGTTGGATATGAGATGGTAAGTAACCAATGAGGGGCTTAGTGCCAAATTGGCTATAACCAGTCTCATATCTAACAATCACAAATGGGAAAATTATTTTACCAATTTTCATAAAATCCTGAAAGTTTGGGTCATTGTCGGTGTAAAAACCTGACGAGGTTTTCTTTGTTTCATGAGGTATTGTTTTGCTGTACACTATTGTTTATATAATGTTTTGTTGTCTTTGTTTTACATCACTCGTGAGCTTCACAGGTTTTTACACCAAGGATGAGCCGAGAGTTTGGATATTTTAGGCAAAAATTTTCAGCTTCCAACATTAATTAATTGCAATGCATCTCCACATATGGTGACTTAGAATATGAGCAGATTACTGGAGTTGAGTGAACCAATCAGAACACTACAATTACAATATCTGAAGTTGAAAATTTAACAATTTCCTTTCTTCATGTCCTTAATGTGTGACTCACGGCTGACATTGTTGGGAGGAATTAGATGCTAGTCACTCTTTGGGGTTAAAACCAATTGAAAAGACATAACACAAACCTGATTTGTGAGTTAATAGGATCATCTGGGTCTTCCCATGTGCTCAAGTTGTATGGAACATCTCGCCATTTTACAAAGTACGTTTCTTTGGATTGCTTGTTAGCTCTAGATTATTAAGTGAAATCATATATTTATAACTCAGGAATGTTCAGTTCATCACTTCCATTAGGCTGACAGAAACTTCTCCAGTAAGATACTAACTTGACAAGATATTTTCAAGATAGATGATCATTGTAGAACTACTTTGATTTTGAATTTTTTTGTGCATCTTAATTCTTTAAATTCAAACCTTATGGCAAATACTGAAAAAATTATTTGCATATATAAGTAAAATGGAAATAATTAAAGAAATACAACCAGAACAGCCTTATGGAATGGACCATTACAAAGGCGTTGGGGTGAGGGTGGGGCAAACACAAAATTGTTTCCAATAAATTATTTGGATAAAAATTTTTGCACAGAAAAGCAAAAGAAAAACAACAAAAATAGAAACTCTTTGATCTCCTTAAATCCCCATACTCCTATTACTCTTCTGCTTAGTACATCCTTCATATGTCTTATATGAGTAAAAAAACTGAGTTTTCTTACCAATACTTAACAATTATTCCACGAGCGCGTGTTGGATATGAGATGATAGATAGCCAACGAGGCACATAGCGCCGAGTTGGCTATAATCTCCTCATATCCAACAAGAGCGAGTGGAATAATTGTTTTATTAAAAATTTCCCCAAGAAATTATTATTTTGTAAGAAAAAACTGGATTTTTAGCCCCCTTTTGATTTTAAGCTGACGCGTATTCTTGCCATATTTGTAGATTATGGTATATTGGCTCATATACCATACTGGCTAAGCCAATAAAAAGTCTTGAATTGCATTATCCAATGATCCAGTTTTTAATAAAATGTATTAGACAATAATCAAACCAATATTTTAAGGCTGATAGTTACTTCATCATTTTGATATTAAACGTCCAGCAATGTAACAAAAATAAAGCTGTCAACATGCACATCTTCCTTTTTGATCTTTACTAACCTGTGTCGAAGGATGCGATGAATTTGTAGCCAGTCTGGTCGCACTCCATATCGATAAAACCTTGCTTCAAGGTTGCTTTCATCTTCTGCTTTACTGTTTTGTATCACATGTGCTGGGGTTTCCTTGTCCTCATCACCATCATCAACAGGTGGAGGTTCTTCCATGTCATTCTTGCGAAAATAGGCACGGTACATACTGGGGTGGTAGATCTCCAACTGAAGTTTATAAGAATCAAAACGCGTGCTCAAGACAGTTTGATCAAAGTGAATTCCATTATCACTGAGGAATATCATTCATGACGTTTGACATATTTATGATTGGTATCAAGTAAATAACACACACAACTCAAACAAAAGAACTTTTAAAGCAATTTTATTCAATTTGAAAACCCAAGCATACACTTTTTCTATTTTTTAGGTTTCACAAGCTCCACATTCTTTGCTTTAAAGGCAGAAAAACCTCATCACCAAACCATGTTACTTTAAAAGTACTTACAAGGTTAGCTGTAAAGAACCTTCTTTGATTGAATATTATATTTCTGATAAAGGGAGACCTAAGTACACATTTGTGATGGGGGACTGGGAAAGAACAGGGTTCCTTTGAAAATACCTGGAATACATAGTATCATCAGCAGAGTTCTAGAACACCTTCAAGAAAAGATTAATAAGCTGACAGGTATCAAAAACCAAACCTGAAGTTCTGTGATCCATGAGCAATGCCAGTAAGACATCTCGCTCCATTTAACAAAGAATTCCCTAGTTTCATAGGTCTGAAAATTAATAATGAATATCCATCAAGATAAACCCTAGAAGTGTTGTAGTTTAAGTTTACCACTCAAAGATAGAGTGTGATATTGAAAGTGAAAGAGGTCTTGCAAAAGCCAAATTCACTGACATACAAACTAAGTGGATGTTATCATCAGAATCATGCCAGGGGTTGTTTCTCAGCGTAATCTCAGAAGTTTAATTTGTGAAGTGATTGATCCATTTTTCAGCAATGGTGGTGGCTGTAGGCCTCAAGTGGTATACTTCAGTTGCAATTGATCAATTTTGATTTATTGGTAAAATTGAACACAGTTTTAGAACAACAAAATTTTCAATGAAACTGCTGCAGTGAAAGGTAATTGAGGGTTACATATTAACTCTAAATATTAAAATCTCATTGGAGTCATACCTCAGGTTCAGTCAACTCTTGGGGATTATCTGAAGTGAGCAATGTATCTGCAAAGTCAATACACACAGTCATGAAGGGTCAGACAGACTTCACAGGAGTATGATCATTCTTAAGAATGAAAGGCATAAATGGCATAATTATAGAATTGTACCTTCAATTGGTAGGTTGACGTAACGCCAGTGGAGAATTCGTTCAACTTTGCCTTTAAGTGGCTCACTCTGAAAGTAAACCAAGATTTCCGAAAAAAGGTTAAGATTGCTATTTATAAGCCAATCAGAAATAGGCAACAGTAGAGAAATTTGTCATCTGCTTTCAGCTGTGTACACACTTGAATAAGAATAATCCCTTTAATTTACCATTCCAACCGGATTTTTCCATCTGCACTTTTTCTGTTGTTTGATTTATGAAAAAAGAAAGGGAATGCAAAATATGGGTTCATTTAGCCACAATTCACACAACCATTACCAGTGTATTAAATGCCAGGTACATTTGAATTAAACCTTTTTTTTTTGAACGGTTAAAGAGAATGTTTAAATTACCAACCAATCTCTTGATTTGTTTTTCTGCCATAAGAATATCAGCAAATTAAATGAAACCACATAATAAACCCATGATCAATAAACACAAAATGCAAAAATATATTAAAATGAAACAAAAAAGGGAAAAGAGGATGCTTGAGAGATTGCCAAGTTTAACACAAATAACAAGTGACAAACTGGAAAGCAATTGGCTAACACTACACGGTGATATTGATTTGGTGAAGACACATTACCTTGCACCTGGGACACCTCCAGTCTCCACCAGGAATTTTCTTCATTGGTGGAATCAGACAATGCAAGTGATATGCTGATGGGCAGCTGTCACAACAAAGCAACTGTCCACCATCTTTACACACTCTGCAATAATCGCTGTGCATGTCTTCACTGGAATCACTTGTATTTTCATCTTCCTATATATCAGTACAAATTAAAGGGAAAAATCTACAAATCATTAACATCACCTGGAAATTTAAAGTTTTCTTTCATGTAACTTGTATAATACTTGAAAAAAAAAAAAAAGGAACAGAACCCTTACCATGCTAGCTCATTTTTAATGAGTAGTTGACAATAAGGAATCATTTGATCTCATTTTTGTCACACGTTTGAGAAAAATAAACCTTCAGCCTGTTGCCCATGATTCATTATAAAGAAAACCACACTTGATCAAAAATCTAATGTAGACCTGTGTTCCACAAAACTCTCTAATTTGGCACATTAGGAAGAACAACAAACAGTCCAGTCAGGACTGAACAAAAAGATCATAAAAACTGACAACTTACACAAACAGGACAACTCCAGCGTCCCTGTGGTGGTTCATCTAGGGGTGGATCAAGACAACGCAAGTGAAATGACAGTGTACAGGTGTCACACAACAGCAAGTCTCCACCCTCTTCACATTCTTCACAGTAATCTTGATGCTCATCCTGAAAAAAAATTAATTATTTCAGTGCAATCATACACCTGAATAAGGTGATATTTCATATCCATTTATTACATTATTATTCTACCAGTTACCAGTTGTCTTTCTTGACAATTCTACGAAGGTCTCTTCTTCACATTGATCAGGAATAGAATGGATGGAAAGCAAAATTGGAAAGATGAAGAAGAGAAAAAATGGGATTGAAAAGAAGGGTGACCAAGTAAAGTAGAAAAAATATACCAGCTACAAAAGTGCCTAATTGCTTTTTTTTGTGGCCGCTAACCCTCAGTAAACCCTGTATTTATGTATTTTTATAAATTCCCCCTTACAAGAAGGGGTTAAGATTAGTTTTGATGGAACCTTTTTTGGTTACCTTCATGCACCTCAAGAAAAAAAAAGTTGAGTTCACTTGATCAAGTGGACAAAAGGTTGGCTACAACTTACCACACTCATAACATTGTCATCATCATTTCCTGTAAAAGAGACACTGACTGGTTAAAATGGTCCCGGGGCAAACAAATACAACACTAATAATATCTGTCAGAGAATGAATTACAGAACTACTTTACCTGCACTTTTCTTTCTCTCTTTTCTTTTCTTGCTAATTATCACCTTTTCCCTTTTCATCTTTGGTGTACTCTTTGCTTTTTTCTTGCTGTTCTTTCCACTAGCCTGGCTTGCATCACTGTCCTCATCACCTCCATCATCAAGCTTTTTCCTGTTTGACTTACTTTTGCCATTATTTTTACTATTACTCTTTTTTGATCTACTACCAGAGCTGGCTTCACTGCCACGATCACTGTCGTCATCCAGGACTTTTGTTTTCTTGTCTCCTGTGAAATGGAACAAAAAGAGCAACTTTTATCATTGGTACCTAGTTTCTGTACCATTTAATGACTACTGGTTTCTTTTAACAGATTCATTAATGAAACAAGGCTTAAATGATCTACTCTTACATAAATATTAAAGCAATAAGGAAAAACAGCTTTAACACACCAGACTAACCTTTACTACCCTTTGATTTTGTTTTGAACAGCATTTTAATCTTGGTTCTAGATTTTGAAGGATCACTCCTTTCATTGAGGACTACATCAACATCATCTTCATCATCTTCCTCCTCCGCAGCAGAAATAGGACCAGAGTCGTCATCATCTGATACATCAACAACTTCCTTCTATACAAAAAAAAAAACCACCCAAATGAAGACATCAACCTTCTCTGTGGTCTAAATTCATTTGACTGACATAAACAAACTTTCTGTCAAGCATTGACAGTGACTATCTTTATTTAAGTTTAATCTTTTCACACACTATACAAGGCCAGGCTTAGCAGGTAAGTTCCTGAATCATACTGAAGTCACACATGGGATGTTTGAGAGCTTTTTCTGATCCTTTCACTGGATTTCTTTGTTCACTCAACAGAAACAGTTCACATTAATTTCCCAAAAAAAAAAAAAACTCAAGTCTAGTTACAACATACATTACCCCTTTCACTCCCAAGATCTCATAATAATTCTCTCATCCATATACCATGCAATTAACGTGATGTTAACAAGTTAACGCCCAAGTCGCAAATGAAGGTCTGGTGCCCTAGGAGCCTGGGGGCTGCAACCACAGTTGCACCCAAGGCACAAGGACACCTGACTGGCCTGTTCCCAACCTACAACCCAGCCACAAGCCCCCCCCCCTCCCTCCCGTGCCAAGCCCTGACAAGCACCCGTCACACTAGAGCCAGAAGGCTTAGAGGAAGGAAAATGAAGAAATAAATAAATAAATAAGTGAAGAAATATATAACCAAATAAAACCCTTAAAAAAAAATTAGAGATGGGAGGATGGGAATGCTGAGAAGCTATCCTCAAGGACGACAATGCCACGCTATAGTACAGCCAACACAATGCAAGCACATGGGAGAACAACACATGCACTGATAAGGATAACTGCTGGACACGATCCACCCTAGGCCACCAACAGCCACAAAGTTGCTGCAACATCACTGAACACATACAAATGCCAGGCAAATACTACCAGAAGGCTAATATGCTAACAATATGCCAGGAGAACATTATTGACCAGATAAGCTCCTACTTGTTACTAAAAGTATGTTAAATTCCATTTAATAATATCTAGTTCAGAGAATTTGGTAATACATCAATTGAAGATACCCTTATTGATATTTCCTTTATTCTCATTACATATCTGCCTGATATTGTTTGGACATTGTAATGAGAAATTCTGTCTTGGTCACTCATGGGATTTTAAGAATTAAGAAGGCAGTTGATTACTGATATCTTCCTGCTTGTGTTTTAACTACTGGCCATTTCAATTCCTAGACTGACTCAAGAGGAATATCTCTTTACAGTATCAATACATTTTCAAGTAAAAGAGTGATGCAAAGAAAGCACAATGTCAACTAGGGTAACTAAAATCTCAGTAATACAAATCATAAGAAAGGTATGGTAGACAGTGCAGAGAACGGGTTAAAGGTGAAAAGTGATTTTGCAACCTGCAATCCTTGTAAGATATGTAATAATACACTTATGATTTACAAAAGCACTACACAAATGGGACTAATGTTAGGACACACAGGCTTCTCATGCAACTTTTCTTGAACACGTGCTGTAACATCATAACAGTTTTGTATTTAGTACAATCAAACTGCATATCTACAGTAAACACCTTTGAGTTTAGCCTTACACTTAAATTAAACCTCACAACATGAAAACATTGCAAGCTCTAAGCAAATGAAGCTGTAAATTCAAGTACTATATACTTACAGCTCGTTTAGCTGGTTTTGTTGACTTGCGTGTAGTTTTCTGCTTTTTAGCTTTGCTTCCACCTTTAGGACTTGCAGTACTTGAGGAATTAAGGTTCATTCCTTTCTTCCTTTTGTAGTCACTCCATATAGCACCAAGAAGGGAGTTCACCTTGGTATGTGCTGTGCCAGGATTAGCTTCTACAATCAGGGGTCGTATCAGTTTGTTGAACTTCAAATAAGTCATTCCTTGTTCATCCTCTTCGGACAGATTCACTTCAACATTGTTAAGAGAAAACTGGTTTGCTACTGTTTCTGCTTTGGATGGTTCATTCTGAAAGATAAGCCATATTATGAGCTGATCAGGATCTAGTTCAACCTCTCTTATGCAGCTTTCCTGGGGAAGAACTTACTGACCCTCCAAGAGGTGGCTAATGATTCCACTCAAGTCTTAACACTGATGAGAAAGATGACCAAAAAAAGAGGCCAGTAGTAAATATCATTGTTCACTGCTCAGAGGAGATCAGATCATGGGAGAGGTCAGCATCATTTCTCAGATAACTTTATGTTAAGTGCAGTGACTCAAACATCTGGTGTCAGACCCAAAGCCCAGCTGTTGTTCGTTTATTCCTGATACAGATTTTTCAAACCAGTTAAATTTTTACTCCTCTGTGTCTGTTATTCATTACATATTAATCAAACTAGTTTGAATCATTCAAAGCAAGAAAACCAGAACATGCATAATGGTAATCTGCACTTTGGTAGCTCACTAACATCCTTGTTATTGTGATCATCAGCATTTGTGTCTCCAGACAGAGGCTCTTTTTCTGGTGCTGCACTTGTCTTTATCACTGACTGCTCTTCATCTGAGACTTTCACATCATCCTGTAAAGCATTTTTGACCTTTTCGTTAGGATCAATCCCAAGAAAAACTCATAGGAATGTGAAGTGAATACTGCTGCTTACTTTACCTATATGTGAACTGTGGTTATGAAATGTATATGTGCTCGAACCTCGCAGTAAAGCACTATTTAAGCAATAGTGAAAATCAGACCTGAAAAAATTCAGGCCTGTATGGGATTTGAACCACTGACCTCTGTGATACTAGTGCAGCGCTCTAGTATCGCAGAGGTCTAGTGTCGCATTCGCTCTACTAGAGTGCTGCACTAGTATCACAGAGGTCAGTGGTTCGAATCCTGTACAGGCCTGAATTTTTTTCAGGTCTGATTTTCCCTATTGCTTAAATAGTGCTTTACTGTGAGGATTGTGCACATATACGCTGCTTATTTTGTCTAGCAAAATTGAAAATCTAACCACCTTGTTGAGTCATTAGAGGAATGAATGTAATTGAGATAAAACGGGGTGTTTTACAGGATACAGGATGTAATATTTATCACAGACACTGACATACCTCGTTTTCATCCTCTCTCTTACGCTTCTTTGCATTTTGAGTCCCTTTTGCTGATCCAGGGTCTTCAGTTCTTCTCTTCTTTGCTTGTGGTTTCTCAACATCCCCATCTATTAATACATGAAATACACACATGCTCGGGTGATATCAAAAAACGGCAAAATAATTACATTTGTGCCCATAATGTACAATAAAAGAGCTTAGTCTGGTTTCCATATCAATACTATGTTTGTTGCTATTATGATATTGAAATAAATCCTAACTTAACCAAAGTATTAAAACCAAAACCAAGAGATGTCTCTTTTCCTTTCAAGGTGGTCTCTGTAAAGAAAGTAATTGCTACATGTACATCCCTTCTAGGGCTAGCTAAATTGAAGATGATTAAGAATACAATTTTCTCTTAATAATGGCTCCATTTAACCAGTTGCTGTCCTAGAAATGGGCCAGGGTTCCTCGTGAGTTCACACGTTTGCTATGGTGAAATAGCATGGTATAATTTCTGTTGCAATTGAAGACATGCACCTTTTGTTGCCTGTGCTTAAGGCCATGCATCATATGCCACAAAAATTGAACACAACTTTTGCAATGTCCCTTGTGGTGTGTACATCTGTACAGATTACTTGCAAGCATGAATTAAGCAAAAATTTGGACCGAACAATTCACTTCAAAGTTGTGTTCTGCAATGATCACACGTTTTAATCATAAGGTAAAATCAACCATAAAGGTTTAGGGGTATGAAGAGAATCCCTAGGAAAAAATCTAGCTAGCAATGTCATGTTGAAGGATATTCATATATCCAGAAATTAATCCTTTAAATTGTAAACCTCAAACTTCTCTCTAGAGAGAAATACTCCTCAATTTTTAATAGAATCCCTCGATAGTACCATAACATCCTAATAAACTTCACTATTTAAACCCAATGCTCGTGTATAAAAAATTTGGCCGACAGCGATTGACGATGATCAATAACATTAGTCCAGCGGAGAACACTTGGAGTATCAGCAAAAAAAAAATCACCTTTTTCTAATTACATAATATTAACTTGAGTCTTTTTCCACAAAAATGGGGTTACGTACGATTTACGGTTTTTAAAGCCCAGGGAATTGCTGTTCTTTCCCAAATCCCGCACGGTTTTCAAGTCCCGGCGAGCTCCAGATCTCGAATATACCGCGAACTTTTAAATTTATGACATGAAGTTAAAGAAAAAAGTACTTCGTAGAGAAGATAAGACTATAACTCTTAAATTTTGTGAAGAAAGATATTGTACGGAGTCGCTCATATAAAATTGCTCTGAGGACATTGAAAGGGGACTAATCTTGTCATCGCAAAACATGTGTCATGTACTCTCATCACTGAACTAGAGATGAACGCGCCAATTCTCAAAACAAGACATAGTCACACTGGAAACTTAGGCTCTCTCTTACATAAATATCGCACTTCGTCCAAAATTAAAACAAGAATAGATTTTCCTGTTCACCTTGATACTTTGAAATTTAATTGAAGTCAGAAACGGAACAAAAATGACAATTTCTCCGATAGGTATTCACGCGCACATGCAAATCACGAAAATTACGGTACCCACCGTTGGAGCCTTCTGCTGATGATTGTAACTCTTTCTTTCTGCTGTTTACCGAGGACATTTTAAGTCGTCACATTTGGGAAGAGAATTTAGTATATTAACACAAAGAAATAGGATATTATGTCCAAGTGCGAAAACACAGGAATTAGTCGTTTCCCGAAAGATGGCGACTGCGCGATATGCAGAGCTGCTTTGTCTCTTCCTTCAGAGTCAGTCTCTTAAGGAGAAAGTAAAATATTGATCACCGAGGAGTCACGAAAAGACCGAAATACTCCACGTCTTGTCAGAAAAATTAAAAAATATTTATGAATGATGTGCTGAAATGACAGCTATTTTGACAGAATACTTGATCTGTTAAGAAAAATGGATACTTAAGGGAAGGAATCAATATGTGTGATGTAATATATACTGTTTTCTCTTTACAATCCATCACGTGACTTTTAAGTTTCCATTTCACGGAGATCTTGCAGTACACCGGGATAGAAAATCATTCCTCTTCACATAGTAACCGGTAAAGAACAAAAAAGTCACCAAAAAAATTTGAGAACTCAAGTGTTGTTTCAGAAAAGTACATAACACTTCTTCCTTGATTAAAGAAAGAAAGTAAAGAAGCCTGCAACTTTTTCTGAACGATGATCAAGTTGTGAATTCTCCTCACCATGACCTTCTCTAGTTGGCCAAATGTTAGATAGCCCATAATAATCTTGCCCTCTGTGATTGGCTGATTGATCTATTGATTGACAGAATCCTACTTTACAGCTAAACCACTCCCTTTAGCTTTCCCCCTTTGCAGAACTGAATAAAGGTGCACACTAAGGTACCATGACAAAAAAAAAGGAGGCTTTTGATTTTCATAGCTTTGTTTGTTGTCATGAGATTATCACTCAATTCCTTTATCAATACATTTGGATCAACCACTTTCTGTTGGTAGGTAACCAACTTTTAAGAAAATAGAGTTGTTGCAAAAATTGCCCCACTTCCCCCTCCATCATTATACATATTGATTGATAGCCATGTATGTGAATAATCTGCATGGCAATCTGGAAAACCTACCATATCTAATCATTAGTAAGACTCAAAAATATCTGTCCAAAATCTTTATTTGACTGCAAGTAATATATAACAATCCTGATTTTTAAAAAAAATTCCAGCAAAAATGCTGAAAATTTCAATCTCTTTTCATAAGTTTTTCTCAAGTTTTATCTTCTCTTTCAGTTTTCATGTCACGGCGATAACAAATGGTTGCCCATGATATAGACTGAATACCAACCACATCAACAGCAGGAAGACCAAGATGTCACTTTCCAATCGTTATTTTTTTTCCGCAGAAAGTGCAACTGTACAACATGTTCTAGCCACTAGGTGGGTATCAAACAACAAAATTAACTTCTTCCAAATCTTAAGGGCAGTTAGTAATATTGGTAATAAATTTCTTTTTGTGAATTAAACAGTTTAGAGTCCATACTGCCAATATTGTTTAACTCACAGGTTACTTGAAAAGGACATGGTCTTTCCTCAGCCCATGAATAGAAAAATTAATTGTAAAAATTAGCTATTTCCGTAAATTTTAATTTGTCAAAGGAAAGTCCTATGTTGCATTCATTAATATCATAGCGAGACCATAAAATTAGTCTTTCTGTTTGGTGTTGCACCATTCCAGTACATCTGCACTATCTGAAAATTTTTTACAAACCCATCAGTTTACTGCATCTTTTCCAAGAACTCTTGTCAGTAAGAAATGCTAATTCCATTATTGAGATCACATAAACTCTACAAGAAGTTTAATGCTCTTTATTTGCAGAGAGTCAAAGGATCATAGAGGCATGGTATGTAAAGCCTGTTTATGAGCCAGTTGACCCATCAGGCCACTGCTTAAATCTGGTTTCCATAGCATGAAGTGACTAAGAGTATTTCTACTCCCCCCTGGATGGAATGCTAGTCCACTGCAGGGTTACCCCTGACATTAAATTTGGCGGTTCCCATTTATTCTCCTGGGTGAAGAGAGGCAATGAGGGAGTAAAGTGTCTTGCCTAAGAACACAACACAGTGTCCCCAACCAGGGCTTGAACCTGGACCACGCAATCTAGAGTTGGGCACACTAACCATGAGGCCACTGCACCTCAATAGAAGCATGGAAATGACAAATCTCTGGAAAAAATAACCCCTTAAGTTCTGCCACATGATGTTACATCACAATGAATCAGCAAGAAAAATGAGATATATAGTTGTAAGATTCTTATTAAAAGTAATTACAGCTTGAAATTTACAAAAGGGGCCTGTGGCAAAGTGATAGTATATGACTGAGAATGTTATTTGCCTAAAATGAAGGACAACCTGGGTGTCCGCATCCCTCTGTTTTAGGTGCCATGGGCATGATAAAATGAGAACAGAAATTCATCAAAAGCTGTCATCAGAGGATGCATTTTTAGATTCTGAAAGTGTCTGTGCTGAATTTTACTGCTATTTGGACAAAAAGGATTAGTGCCTAAATGGCATCATGATTGGCAATCTTTGCCTCCTTAATTCAGAAATCAAATGAGATTCCTTGATTCTGTGTCACTCAAGAATCAGGTCATTTAAAACATAAAAATGTGGTAGAACATGAGTGACACTTTTCTGTCCCTAATATGCCACATTTTCACCTTACTACAACATAAAATTAAGTGCTTACAATTTAAACATGGCTTACACTTATCAAGTAAAGAACTTACTTGAAAAAAGGTATCCATAAACAGAATTATTTAATCACACAGGTAATGAAAAGGAAAACACTGCAAGGAACTGAACATAGTAAAGCACACAATGACTCTGGTAACTAAACATTTATTCAAATCAATAAATGGAAAACAGGTGAGCCACAATTGCAATGATCCATTTGTTTCCTAGGAGGATGATCCTGTAGACAGCAGAGCTAGAACACCACCAGCCATAGATGTAGAGAGCAGGTAGTTTCTTAAAGACTGTTAACGAAAATTGTCTTAAAAGTGAACTGCAAAGTGAAATATAGCTGGCATATACTCACCCAGATAGAAAAAAAAACCCCTACATTTTTCAAAGAGGGTTTGACAAACTAATCCTTGTTTGGGTTGTCAAAGATAACTCAGGTTAGTGAAGTTTCTTAATTTCCACCAACATTTAGTCAACTTTGAACTACTTTTAGTCTGAAATAATGCAGGACAAGAACTTAGGAAAAGGTTCATTACCTTCCCAGGGTAATATAGGATGGAAGTCACTGAAATTTTTGTCAACAGACAGCCAACAGTCAGCTGACAAGTGGCTTTATTACCTCTGCTGAGTTTTTCAGTATAAAATGGTTTTATCAACTTAGTTGGTAATAACAGATGATGATTATCATCTGTTATACCGTATATCAAATAATTATATTATCATCAGTTTCTACCAAATGTAGTTATGTTAATGACACTCACTAATAGCACTGTACTTTGTAATTAAGAATAGAAGAAAAAAGAGAAAAAAAAAAAAAGAAAAAAAAGTGACTTCAACAAAAACAGCAGGATTTGAACTTGGTGCAAAGATTATAATTCCCAAACTACAGAAAGAGTTTAAAAAAGATACGCAGCAGGATTAAATGTTCGGAGAACATAAAATGAAGCTATTAGAACCAAAAACAGGTACAAGGCATTGTTGTAAAATATGGAGAAGGTAACAGCTTCAGTTTCAGCAACATTGTTCTTTTTCCAGAGGATTCTGAAAAAAAAATCCAATTTATGATGGCATGAGGTGTAGACTAGTTTGAAAACTACACTTTGAGGATAACTGCCTTCTGAATCAACAAATAATGGTCAAACATTGTGTCTTACTACCTAAACAAATGACAGAATATGACAATGTGTAGAAAACAAAAAGCCTATGTCATAACACAGTTAATAAATGATACCATCTTCATTGTTCTGGTTTCTCAAAATTCAATACTTGTGAAATAAAAATAATTTTCTAAGACAATATGAAACATAATTTTAGTTTCTTTACACAAATCTGTTATGTTGTGGTTAAAATCATTTCTTGGTTTGATTTTCAAGTCCTACAACCTTATGATACAGGTAAGTGTGACTAAATACATCCACATAAAAGTCTGTGCTAAATAAATGTAAAAATGTAATGTAAATGTAATTAGTATGGGACAGAAGAAAATTAGAATGAAAGTGACTTGAAATATTTTCAACAACAAAAAAAGAGAAAATACTACAGTAACATAGTCCACTTACAGTAAAACAGCACCTTTGAATTGCATATGCTAAAAAAGGCTGTATAGCCAATCACAAATGCCACAACGTTAAGTCTGCATTATACTGAATAAAATACAAGTATACTAAAATCGATTAAATATAAACCTTTCATCCTTCTCATCGCGGTTCAGCTTCTTATTAGAATCCAGCTCCATGTTAACTTCTTTAGAAACTGAGGCATCTCTTCGTTGGGCAATCCTTTAAAAACATTGCAGGCATCTTAGTTTAAAAAGTAATAATACAATAAAACAAAATATAATAAACACATAGATCTGACAGTCAAAACTGGGTAAGATTTCCAAATAACCTTATCCCATTCTAAAACAATGCCCTAGTCCCTAAGGTAACTGATTGTTTCATCCCAGTCTTGTTTCATCCAATACTGCGAACATATTGAAGTATGGGGCTGTGCAGAAATCTTGGCCAAAACTTTTGTAGTTATTTGTACTTCCTTACTCAAATCATTGACGCTTCTATCAATTACTGGATTTGCCTGTAGCTTAATTGAAACTGAAATGTTACACTCTTTGTTCATCAGAGATCTTTGTTATCAACCTTTCTTTAATGATCCTGTCATGTGCATCATTGAACTAAATATTATCCTTGCTTTTGAGCAGCACTCACTTCTTAATTACAATTACTAGGTTATGGACACATAAGTTTTACGAAACATTTGTCTAATCCAAAGCAGTTTGAAATTTCACTGTCGTAGAGAAACACTATAGTTCAGCCATATATTCTCATCTAAATACTACAACGGAACTATTCTGGCAACATTTACCACTGACTGACCAATAAAAATTGGAAACGTAGATACACAAACCGCATCGAATTACTTACTTATGTTTCAACTGAAACTTAACGTTCTTGTAGGCAAAAGCCACCAGCCACGTACTGATCAGAGTCATCACGACGAACATGATGCCAGATGAATAAGGATCCATTTGGTGAATCCTCCAAAACAGCCCTAATAAAATATTAAATCACGCTAAAAATACATTCTCGTATTATTAAAAGACATTCCGACAAACAAAGAGCGCATGCAATAATTTTAAACAGCGAGTAAATGCTGAAAAAGGTCAGGCTTACAAAGAGGAATGGCTGAGACGAAGAATGCGTTGGCATAGAATAATGCCGAGGACTTAGTGGAAACGGTTCTGCTGAAATTTTGTAACAAAATTTCGTCTTCTTTTGTGAGTTTCTTGCCGCCCGCCATGTTAAATGAGTTGGCACGGAAAAAGGAATTGGTTGAGGAAGACTGAGAAGTAAGTAAGGAAGTACTAGTTTGTAGTCTCCCTCGGATATTTTAAAACGCCTGACGGAAATCTGCAGTTCAAGTTCGAGTTCGCGCCGTTTTGTGTAAACGATCCAGGTTACATTTCAGTAATGCAACCATGTCCGCTCAGAAAGAAGCGTGGCAAACGGAACGACCAACTATAAGATCAAGAAGCAAATTTATGTTTAACAACGAGCTCCTCAGTGATGTTAGTTTCGTTGTTCCTGTGCAACTCGACGAAAATAGCAACAAGAAAGGCAGGAAGGCTATTCCAGCACACAAGTTTGTCCTTGCGATAAGCAGCCCTGTGTTTTTTGCCATGTTCTATGGCGATATAGCCGAGAAGTCAGATTCTATCATGCTTCCTGACTGTGAGTACGAGAGTCTGTTAGAATTGTTTCGCTTTGTGTACTGTGATGAAGCGAGGCTGACTCCGCACAATGTCATGCAAGTGCTGTATTTGGCTAAGAAATATATCTTACCCTCACTTGTTGAGAGATGTAATGAATATCTACTCGAAGTTTTGAATGTTTCCAATGTGTTTTGCGTCTTGTCTCACGCCCTGAACTACGGAGAGAAGAAGCTTGTGAGTCACTGCTGGAAAGTTATCGACAAGGAGGCCGAAGAAGCCTTGAAAACAGAAGGATTCGAAACGATAGATAGATCCTTGTTAGAAGAACTTGTCAAGAGAGATTCTCTAAACATCAGAGAGGTAGACTTATTCAGAGCAGTCAATACCTGGGCATTAGAGGAATGTAAACGTCTTGATATGACAGCCAATTGTGCATCCAAAAGGTCGATTCTTGGGGACAAGGTTGTGAACGCAATTCGTTTTCCAGTCATGAAACGGAATGAATTCAGCAATTTTGTTCTTGACTGCAACATATTAACTTCACATGAGGCCACAAGTATGGAGGATTATTTCAAAACCCTGATTTTAAGCTCACCAAACCATTTCTCAGAAGCTCCAAGAACTGGCCTTCGCCAAAGATGCTGTAGATTTAACTCTGTAGTTCTTGAAACTGGATTAACCTACAGCTCTCACCACAGTGACTATCTTTATTTTTCAGTAAATAGGGACATTGTCTTGTATGGGATTTGTTTGTTTGGAAGTGAAAATTGGAAATACCAGGCTACAGTAACAGTCAGAAAAGCATCTAATGGTTTATTTAAGGCCACTAAAATAGGAAGATATTCTTCTTTACCCATGGAATTAGAGGAAGAAGAAGGTAGTTTTTATGCCTTTGATATTCTGTTTGACAAGCCAGTGTCTCTAGAGAAGAGCACTTGGTATTATGTGAAAGCTTCCATGTCTGGTCCCATCATTTGGCAGGGAAAGGGAGGAGTGAACTCCATCCAGTGTCCTGGGGTACAATTCAGCTTTAAGGACCACCCAAAGAATAATAAAAGAACCAACATTGCAGAAGGACAGTTTCCTCAGTTCCTCTTTAGTTTGGAGTAAATTCCACTTGCATGTGGTATGGCTCGTTGCAATATTCCAATGGGCAACTCCAGAAAGGAAAAGAGTTGGTTATGTGTAAATGAATCCATACCTCATACTGTAAGGTTTGTTGTCATTACTCTGACTTAAAACCTGTTGAATTAAATGGTATTTAACAACAACAACTTTTATTTTTATTGCACAAGTACAAATTATTCTATACTTTGTGTTTGAGAATTTCAAATGATTTCAAGCTATGGAAACAAAGACAGAGTTGCTTGTCCTTTTAACAACCATTTAAAAAATGACCTATATTCTGTTATCTGGACCTCATGTAGTTTTACATCTTGTTTTTGAGGATGCCTCTATTCTAGGTTAGAGCAAAGAAAAATGTTCGAGATGATAAAATTCTCTTGTCAATTCAAAATTGATCAAATATTAATTACTGTGAAACTCATGGAGACTGGGGAAGGGGAAATATTAATGGAGTGTTGTTGTGTTTCAAAGGAAAAGCTAATTACGTGTCAGAAAACTAAAACATGGACTGTAAGTTAAGTCTGCCTTCAAGCCTAGTGGCCAATCCAGCATCCTCTGGATGGGATGCTAGCCATTTGTCAGCTTTCCTGTTGTTTTTATGCATGTTATGTTTTGCCACTCTTATTTTAAATTTGAAATATTTCACAGGAATAGTTAATTTGACCTATGATTGGTCCAGATGTTTCTTTCCTTTTGTTATTCAAACTTCCTTTTTGTTAGGAATTAGCCTATATATACTAGTGTATTTTGTTTTGTTTTTTTCTCTCTGTTGTTGTAACTGTTTATTTGGATGTGAGTGGAATAAAAAGAAGCAGAAGTTTGTTTTAATCATTTAAAAACTTTATTTCCTGTACCCATTTACACTCTGGAGTGGAGAGAGAGGCTCTGTGAGAGTAAAGTCTTGCCGAATGAATAAATGAATGAAATGTCTTTATTTTGCTCGTTAAAATACATAACAAACGTTACAGAGTGTAAAGGTAATAGATCATTTACAATAATTATATAAAATCAAATAAAACATAGAATATATAATGTTACTTAGCCAAGTTGTATTTAAACCTCATTATAATTTCAGAGCTGAGCAAAGATTTTCCAGCAATCTGATTGGTTGAGCAGTTCCTTATATGACATTATATAAACCGCTCCACACGGTTTATTTAAAATGTTAAAGTAAAATGTTATAAATGTTACTAAAATGTTATGATTTAAGAAATTTCTCTGTTGTTCAGCTCTGAAATTATACTAAAACAATTATTTGCCTCAGGTTCGGTGAATATTGTCCAATAATCCCCTCAACTTTGTCTCAGGGATTATTCGACGATATTCACCTCGTCTTCGGTGAATAATTGTTAATTATTCTATTAAAATAGCAACACTCAGACCTCTAGAGTCCAGCATGTAAACTGTTACTGTGTCTCCACCGAATGGCAGACTAACAGCAATAATTTTTTGGTTTTGAGGTTTGCTTACAAATGTTAAACTTCATTTTGGTCAACACACAGATGGTTTTCTGAGTTTTACAATAATTACAATGTTGTTCCACTGCAATGTTATACATGGTAATTTTTGAGAAACTGTAAATGAGTGACTGGTATTATCGATGTCACCAGCATTAACAGGTGATGTTATTCCTCACAGAAATAATTTTAAAGCAATTGTTTTCATAACTGATAAAGTTTAATTGTCAAGAAACAAAAGGTATGAGAGTTGAGTTATTGTTTTAGTTAAGTTTGTAGTAAGAGAATTTTTCACCAGGTTTTGTTCCTTTTTCATGACTGGTGCTACTTGTTTCTTAAAAAAGGTACCAGAAATCACCAATGTAAGGAGTCACAATAATTAGGAGATTTTTAGCCAAAATATCTGGTTGGTCTTCTAGTTTAAATTTTTATTGAGGCTATTAGGCTTGACCACCAGTTGCTATGCAGGACATGACTTTATTCTCCTCCAGGATGGAAGAGTGGACTAATTAAAACATCAGAATCAAGCTGTCATCACACTTTTGCAAACTGCGCCCTTATTTTTTTTCTTCCTTACACAGATAAAATCTGAATGTTATGTACAAAGATTAAAAATGGAAAGTTTCAAAATGAAGTAGACACAAGATCTTAGTTTTGTTTTAGTTACTTGGTTGTTTGTTTTGTTTTTTATTTTGAGAATTTAAGGTTAAGTGTTTACACATGTAAGTTACCTATCAAGATAGATAGAAACTGTCCCCGTTGAGTAATGGTGCCATTCTTAAAGCACCAGGCATCATTGACTTTGAATGTTGCCCAGGAGGTGCCATTTTACCAGTATTACACAAAGTGCAAAAATAAATGTATCTTGTATAAAATGCATACAAATGTATCTTTAACAGAATAGCAAAGTAGTTATTGGGTAGGGATCCTTCCTTGTTTCTGGTGAATGGAAAATTTCCTGTCCTACTTGCAAGACCAACGACAGAAATGGTAGAACCAGCTTTACCATGAATACCTGTACACTTAATTTCAAAGTGGCCGTGTATGCCAGCTACAAAACAAGCAAATCTCATGTCATCTAATGGATTTGGAAACTGAGTAAACCAAAGCATCTTGCAAATCTGAATTGCCCGAGCAATGCACGTTATTGACGTAACATTAAATTGTAATACATAGAGAAAGCGCATAACAAACGAAAGAATAAGACAGTCGCGCACACATCACAAACCCACGATCAGACACTAAACAAAGGAAGCGCGCATTACCTAGCTACATGACCGGAACAGAGCAGAAGGAGACGTTTGGGAACGCGGACGACAATTGGAAGGAGAATAGAACTTTTTCTGGGATCCTCCATGGATCAACTTAAAAGTGGATGTCTTAGTATTTTAACTCTAACTGTACTGACTAAAAGACTAAGTGAAAACCAGGAATGACAACTTCAAATTCCAGCTGCTAGCCGCGTTTTAAAAACGTTTGTGGTTTAGCTCCCTGCAATCAAGAGTTAATAAGCTAATCACAAAACAAAGAGAGAGAGCATCATAGTGGAAGCCAGACACGAAGAGGAAGAGACCGCATCACTAACGCAACAGTCAAACTCCTATGAGGAAAGTGCATATTACGAACGCGAATATCAAAACGACAAGAGCGCGTCACTGACGTCACACAGAGAGCCCATCACAATAACGCAACAATTAGAACGAAGAAGTGCGCAGTAGGTGATGATAACTGCAACGTCTGTGACGAAACAACCAAGCTCAAAACAGTAGTGTATGACGAATAAATTTAAGAATGATCCTCACAATTGATTAAGTGAAGCGGATATTGTAGAAAATATGTCCCAAATGGAGCAATAATTATTTTCTTCTTATGGCGTCTGGGTGAAACACGTCATGATCAAACAAGAAAATGGCTTCCATAAAATATTTTTTTAATCATCTTTTTAAATTCCAGTTTTAAATAGCTGATGAAAGTACAAGCTTAATGACAAGAATTTCTGAATTTGGCTAAACTTCAGAATACCCGGCCACCTCATTTACATGTTATTATATAAGAAGAGCGTCTATTGTGTTATGCCTCGTTCTACAAAGCCTCCCGACACATGTAAATGAGGTGGACGGGTATTCTGAAGTTTCTCCAATAATTTAACTACAATTTTTAAGTCTCCTTGTTTGAGATCACATTAAACATCATTGACTGCACTTATCTCTTGATATTACTGATAGTTTCCAGAAGTGCAGCAAAAAAAAAAAAAAATACAATAATTATTACTTCAAACAACTTCTGCATTCCAATTTCTTTGACCCTTGAAGAGAGGCTCATTACTCTAAACTGTTGTTAACTATTTGTATACATACATTTTTTTCACAATATCTGGATTACATTCAGGATTGCAATTGAGTTTAATGAGTACACAATCCATGATAAAAATATCAAAATTGATTGTCGACTTTTTTTGTATTGTCTGTGTTAAACTAATAATCAGTTTGTGGTTTCACATTGAAAATACACATGGTCAAAAATACCTGATTCCAGTTCAAAAAGGCATGGGGTTGCATAAATAGCATAATTTTATAAATTAATCTAGATGCTTGCTTTCTCTGTGACCGAAAATACCCCCTAAAAGTATAGTACAAACAATTTCATTTTTCACATAAGCAGGGCATGCAAAGATGAAACGGATGAATTAAAAAAAATCCTTGTCTGCTGCAACCAACTAACTTGAAAAGTTCTTTGCAAGCACATTTAAACACTGTATTGCATTGCTTATGAAACTTGATCTGTTTGGTCAACACTTCTTTCACCGGCCTTCCACTCAATATATATCTCTGCTTCTTAATTCATCAAAGTTAAATTACAACCTTCTGGAGAGCTGGCTTGGAAGCAAACCATTATGCAAGTCTATAGCTCCACAATGACATGACTCAATTGATTACAAATTGTTTAAAGCTATTTACACTTACATTATAGAATACAATATCATTGTTTGTACAAATACTTATCTAATAGAAAGCTACTGTGTGAAGCAAAGTTCTTTTCCATTTCTTCTCTAGTTTAGGGATAGCCTCATCAATTTCATTTTCTAAATCATCTAAGCCTTCGATCTAAATGAAAAAAATAAAATAAAAACAACTCTTATTAGCAGTAGAGTAGAAAAACCTGAAACATAAAAATGCATACTCTCAAGAGAGTGGCAAACGGCTATAGCTGACCCCTGATTAAGCCCAAAATTGGTATGTGATTCAGGAATTTTACACAAAGGCAAGGTAAGGAGAGACTTGAAGTTTTCACCATTAAAGTTGTTATGTGTGAAATACGTTTTACAGCACACATGAAGTACGGATTTTTCTCAAACTCCTGAGTGAAACAAGCTCCTGCCTTTGCTACTTTCTCTTTTAAGATAGTTATCTTCCAAACTTAGTGGCATAAGTCAAGGGTATCAATATATTAAAATATGCATTAACATTAAATAAAAAGATCACAAAAAATCCTATAAAAATGTAACATAAGTTCTAGTTATTGGAGGCATTGAAATATAACCACTCCTACAACAGAATAATGTTACATAAACTACAGCTTTCTTCACCAAAAACAGTCTGCAAAGAGGCAAATATTTAGAGGGAGCACGATTTGTTTCACAGAACCTTCCTAATGGCAGTGGGTATTATAGTATCTTTTGTGTTTCGCCCCTACATCTACAGGAACTGTACAGTTGCACCATTTCCACATTTTCAATACTTACAGCTTGGCACATTTCACATATTAGGAATGCTCCCAGTGTAGCTTCTTCGTGGTTATCCTGAATATCAAGGTTTATTACATGGACTGGCGAGTAGCTTTGAGCACCACGTGATTCAAGATCTAAAAGAAATAGGTTTAAGTCAAAATACCACATACAGTCAGAGCTTGGACATTGTACATACCCAACTTTGGATTGACATGTTTAAAGCTTCTTCATCTTATTATTAACTTACCAAGTGACAATGAGCGAACTGTTATAATTGTTAACATTAACGATATCAGTAAATTATGCAGTGTTAGCCTTTCATCAGTCTAAGCTTGTTTAGACAAATACTTTCACTTGCATGAGGCATACCATCCAAATTGTTGCAAAATTTTTACCAAAAGCATAAAAAACAAAACCCAAAATTTAACAAAACACACAGTTCAAATTTTCCCTCTGTGCATGCAACTCTAAGACAGTACAGATGCCACTTCCTATAATTTCCTCACCACAGCTCATACACATGTAGTTAAGTACAGAGATTCACTGGCCACTCACAATCAGTCTATCATGCAGTGGGTAAAAGAATACTTACACTCAATAACTTGATCCTACACCCTCTCTTCCACTGTAACCACAAGGTCAAATTCTTCTTCAGTTTCTTGGAATCTTTCAGGATGGGCTTTTATTCTCCTGTTTCTATCCAGCATGTGAAGAATTCCATTTTGCTTGTAGCTAATTGGCTGAGTTAAGGAATGTTTCCCATTTTTGTAAATTATGATAGTTTACATACAACAAATGTTACCCATTTAGTAATTGCCTTAAGAAAAATGGATATGAAACTGAGAGCAACAAAACCCATTTCTTCTGATCACGTGAAGAAATAGTTGGGGCACTAGATATTACATAACCATAAAGGTATGGTATACAGCTGATAAATTTTATAATGTAAGTCAAGGTTGGTCCATATAAGAACAGAACATGACCCATAGTAATATAGGTCATCATGAAGAAGTTTGGGAAAGGAGCATTGACTTCTGTGGACAATGGTGACATTTTGGCTTTAATGTATATTTCATCCTACAGGGGCAGATCCTCTACTTTTCTTAGGAGGGGGTGTGCCACTAAGGAGTGATGCGGAATACTTGTTATTCTAGAAAACCACAGGTTTTCTTAATCAATAGGGGGTGAACACCCCTCCCCTAGATCCACCCCAGCCATGGGGTCTCAAGTTATCCTCTTCACCAGAACCCTCCAGTTCCTTCACCTAAACTAGGCCATTACCTTGATTTTAAGTTTAAAGAATGTGCAAATCAGCCAAACAGATGGAGAATTGCAACTGAAATATAATCAGTCATCAGATGAACATTTTAAAATGTGTAATCAGTAACTCTGGACGAGGCTCGCTCGAATAACATTCATCATAAAAAAAAACTATAGCTAAGGTTCCTTTGTTTTAATCGGTTTACAGGCCAGATATAAGCACAGACAACATGGACCTCTTTTTGCAGAATAAAGTTTGCATTCTTTGGCAATGTTTGCAGCTCAGACTAAGATTGTTCAGCTGTGCAAATAAAACAAATGAACATGTTTTCTAAACGGTGATGGCTAACTTGGCACAATGTACTGCAATAGCTACCCTACAAGTTCCAACAAACCATGGGTGGTGGTAACAGGAGAAAAAGCTTGGCGGGAGTTTAGCTAAAAATTTGGCTCTATATTGCATGACACAGGGAGAATGTTGTAGTTTACAAGAACACCAGTGTCATTCTGGTCCATCTAGTAATCATGAACACATCGTTTTTTTGGGGGGGTCAACTGTAATTTTCCAAAGTTGAAATGGAGTAAACTTGGATGTTTGGTGTCAGTTCATTCTTGTAGGCTGTGTGGGTTTATTCACAATACTCCTTGTTCATTGACTCCTCACCACTTCCTTACAGGAAATGTTTTGGCCATTCTCAGACCCACCAAGCAGTGTATTTCAACCAGTACATTCTTGACTTGTTACTTACTCAGGAAAGATTTTCTTCACCCAAAAACTTTGAAATGATCGGGGCAGATGTATCCTTGCTGTACCCCCAACTAGAATATCACATCTAGCAAGTTAATTCACATAAAAACTTGCCATCCAGTTCTCCTTTCTATCCACATTTTTCAACCCAGAGCAATGAAAAGTCTACACTGTCTTTGAACCTCTACTGTTCCCTTGACTGTAAATCTCAACTTGCCATATTCCTTTATACCAACAATGTGTGCTCATATAAGCAATCTTGCCACAACTCTGCTGAGGAACATCCTCATTGGAACACTCCTAAGAAACTCAAATTACAATCCACCTATAAATGTTATACATGAAAATTTACACCTCAGCTGCATTTTCTCTATAGTACAGTGAGAAAGACACCTAACCTACTTCACAGCAAAGATAAGCTACATACTCAGTGAATGACTATCAAATAAACTCAAACTAAGTAACATCCTGATAATTTTTCACTGTCAAATGATGCCAGACAGTCTAGTTCTATTGTAATCATAAGCAGTCAACACTCCCAGAAATTGGTAATGATTATAGATTTAGATACCGGAATGCCATTCGATTGAATGAGATCAAAAGTATGCAACAACTGTTGAAAAATTGTGCTTAACTGCACTAATTACAATTTGATCGATGACGTTCCAAAACAACCCTTGAAAGAGCACCTCTCTTAATAAAGCCCTTCTTTTGGACAACATCTACAGTTGGTCAGCTTAGATTCAAGGTATTCTTAACGATTACAATGTTCTTTGAATAGAGAAAATTCCATTTATGCCAACTGTAGTGTAGAGTTGTTTCCGTACTTCGTGAGTTGACTGGTCTTAGAAACACAAACTTACTCAACCAATTAGATTCAAAACTATAACCAATTGCAACTTGGTCATATATTTTCCTGCACCACTGACAACTTTTATTTACTTCTGAGTCCTCATTGATTCCTTTAGATTTAGTTTTTGACTCTCATTTGAAAAGCTTTCTCACTTTTTGCTAGACTAATAACTTCAACAATCTTGGTCAAGACATTATCACAAAAAAAAATTAACTCCTAAACTTAATCCTGCTATGCTTCATTTCACAGGGAAAGTTAATTTTATCATTTACATCTATATCCCACTAAATTCACTTGAGGTCTGTGTATGGCAATATTTAGGCTTGTCATATTTACCAAAGACAAACTGAATATGCTATGGTTCTTTGACCATACCACAAAAAGTAAAAAAAAAAAAAATTTGTTTGGACTACTACTTACAGGTTGTCATTTGTAACACCAACAGTAATATTTACGATTTTTTCTTTACTTTCTGCAAATCAAGAATGGGTACCGAAGTGAACAAGTACTTCATTATTATAACCATGTTGCATTGCTGGGAAACCATCAGTCCAAAAACACCAATAATTCCTCTTTCTTAAATGCAATCTTCCAAAAATGATTTAGACACCAAGTCCTACTCAAAGATAAAATCCATCAGAAAAGAGCATGGTTATAGAGAAAAAAGCCCAAAACAGAATCTCATCATAGAAGGCTTAACCAAACTTGAGATGTTCAGACTCAATCAGTATTGACACACTGGAAACTACTATCACAATGCATGGTTGCCTTCATGAATAAGTCCTTTTCTAATCAGGCCTCTCAATCTAACATAGCGGCTGTCTCTTTGATGCTTTGCATGCGAACTTAAGACACAAGAAATGCAGTGCCATAGAAATAACCAGAAAATTAATATTGATCATATTTATGATAGCTTGGAAATGTAGGCCTTTAAAGAAGTTATTTCTCAATTTGGAATATAATTCTCCACGAGTGCTACAGGTATGCACTTTATCTTTGCTATGCCTTGTACGCAAGATACCAACCTAGCATCTCATAATTTAGATCCAACTTGGTGAGGCCTGTTCTCAATTAGCAAGGTTCAGTAACGGATTGCATAGTAATCTGTTGGAATAATCCAGTTACTTTGAACACCTTAAAACTAGATTTACCATACCAGATTGATAGTATCAGCTTTCTATAAAATTCTCACCACACTAATCACAAGTTCAACTCTAAGCAAGGCAGACCTACATGAATTAGATCACAACTGTTTGTAACTTGGAGGTTTCCCTCCCGTCTTTTCATAGGCAACCTTAGGATGTAACAATTTGGAACAATCACTGAATTCTGGTGGAAATGTAAGTTACACATTGCTATGTTGCAAGACATTCGTTGAGGGGTAAAAAACGTTCTGACATAATGTTCAAATTGTAGCCCTGTTTTGATGCTTATTTTAGAAAGGAAAGTAAACTTGTATCAAGCAGGTTTATCTACCCTGGTAAAATAAACACTAAAGCACCTGAATATATAACTCAAACTGCAAAGAGTTTCTGCCAAGTCCTTTCTGCTCATGCCAATGATACCATTGCACCGAGGTTCCTTTATTCATTTTGAGTTCTCATCATTTTTATGGTCCAGAAAGCTATTAGGTAGCAACCTGACTACTAGATTAACCTTCTGTTGCCACTGTTCTAGATATTACCTAAGCCAATCTGCACTTGTAGTCTATTCAAGAGAATTTACAAGCCTCATGAGACTAAAAATAGCATTTGTCACTTTAGTAAGCCAGCAAAAATTGTTCACTTCTCATGCTGGAGATCTGAATGATGTATGCATATTAGGATAATTCCCAAGGAAAGGCTTCTCTTGGAAAAGTCAATCACCATAATTTAAGGGTGTTCATCAATACTTTCAAGCTTCTTTCAGTCAGTGGAACTTTCTCTTGCAACTTGAGGCAAAAGGATGCCTAGAGGTATGATACATGACAGTTGGGGGTATTGTATTCTATCTGCTGTCTTCTTCAAATCTTCTGCATTTATAATGCTGCACTCATTCGTGTCAGTTCATTACCAATTTCAGGTATCACTGGCTTTAACTAAACCATCTCATCAGCAAGGGTCAGCATTGAGCTCAGTAGGTTCATCTCACATGTTGACCATCACAACTGTAGGGAGGGTAGTTTACATCTTTATGGTCAATTTTGTAATTCTCTTGACAACCTCTCAGAATGTGATTGCCAGGATCTGCCTCAAAGATGGTCAGGATTTAATTCATGTTTAAGTTTTGGTCACGAGCCAAAATTAAATATCAGATGTGGTGCATGATCACAGTAGTAACTCTTTCACACACAAAGCCATTTTGGGTGGAAAAGTCTATGCAGCTTTCTAAGCACTTGGCAATAAACATTTCAAATACATCCAAGAATACTTCTCTCTTCCTGAGAAAATAACTAGAAGAGGCACTTGCATTCCACCATTCGGTGGCAAGAGGCAGTCAGAGGAATCAAACTGATGCAGATTTATCTTAATTGAGACTTGTTGATGCAAATGCCAGAATTAACAACTTAAGATTCCATTTTTGGAAAAACTTTAATTCTCCGAAAATTTCTTACTCTCTATCCTAGAAGATCACTATCCTATCAGGTGATCAGTTGTCTGTTTAAGAATGGTCTTGCTCAGGACCATGCAGGTTATTTTCAAAATCTAATGCAAGGGCAACATTCCTGCACCAACAAAGGGGATGTTTGAGTTGGCTTGTCAAGCTTATAGTTCTAAATGTTAGTGGATTTGTACTTGCTTTCTAAGCCAGGACAAAAAAAAAAATTATATAAAAGGATAAAGGGAGTAGCAGATTCATGATTCGATAGGTTATTTCACTAGTAACACAGTGATTCATACTGATACATTTATTAATGCAAGTGCTTTGTCAAAGCATAATTTCACACAAAAATGTGTCTCAGGAAACAGGATTTTACCTTTGCCACAATCTGGTCCATTTCTTCTTTCATCTCTGTCAACCTTTGTTGTTGTCCGCCTCAATTACGCAAAGCACTGTGCCTCTCTTACTAACATTAAAATTTAACTATTTTTCACGTAAAGAATGGTGACTTCATCTCACACTTGTCACACAGGCTTTTCGTTACAAATACTGAGACATTCTGGTCAACCTTCTCATAAGCTGCAAAGAAATGATATTGAAATTCCCGATGCCAACCAACGCTTCTACGTCATTTGATATTTGGCAACCCAACTTACTTACGTTCGAACATGCTAGCGCCGCCTGTTAACCTAAAAGGCAAGATCTAAACAAAGCTATCTTTGTCGTAGGTAAGGTGAAGATTTCCCTGTACTTTCCATTTCCTGTATACTAAAAATAGGAAATGACACAACCAAAGGGGGGAATTAGCGACATTACGTGATGGAATGCAAGTAGAATCTGAGCAAATTTCCATTACCAGATTACCGCCTTTGTTTGCTACTCTTGAATAGCAACAACGCTTAAACTTCGAAAATCGACTGGATACAGTTGAGGGTCTTTTTTCAGTAAATCTCGGTACATTTCATCGTAGGTTGTATCAAATGAATAAATGTTTGGTCGATCCGGTGCTGGACCAGGCAACTTCACTTGAACTCCTGAACCAAACGACTTCACATTGAAACCGCGCTTGCTGAAAACAAAAGAAACGAAAAACACATTCCTAACGCATTTCCTCCTTAAGAAAGGCACCGAACAATGTCACCCTTTAGCTTAACAAACAACTACATAGCAGCATCTCTTTAGAAACTTTTCTGGACGTGAAACGCTTTACCTTAAGAAGTTATGAGCTTCCATACTGCGGTTTTGGTTACTGGAGCAAACAACGGCGATTCTTAACTTTAGAACCATATTTGACAGGTTCAGAGGCATTAAGTTTTAAATAAAAGGCAAAACAGGAAAACTTAGGATAACTAAGAACAAATTGATGGTATTATCCAAGCGAAAAAACCTTTCGAAGACTACGATGGAAACAGATTTTTCCTACAAGAACTATATCACAACTCTTCAAAATGGACTCCTCTGAAAAAATACGACGCAATAGGTTTTACGTCACAATAGATGATTGGTCGATTAAAACATCCGGGCAACCGCCCTTAAACATACGGGAGGCCTCTTACTTAGTCCTCACCAGCCATAGAAGAAAACATGGCGGACGGAGTGGAAGAGGCGACAGATGTGGTAATGTTTCTGGATAATTTTTCCAGCTACGATATTTTTGCATTTGTATAATATTTTCTTTAATTTGGTACAATATGCAGCTTCTTGATGAAAAAGAAGAATCAAGCCCATTAACTTATGAGGTATGTTTTCCAGACACTGGGTCTAAGTCGTAGAGAGGACAAACTCATGATCAGTGACAAACTTTGCTTTACTTCTTTCTTTTTTGATCGATACAGAGCACTTCTTTTGAATATTATAAGTTTTAGATACATCTGATTTATGATTTAATTGCAAGTTAGCTCATTGAACTAATTAACAAGAGAATTATCATAAACAAATCCTTCAAAGTTCACTCTGCTATACATCAGGCCATGTTTAAAGTTTAAATCTTCGGTATTTCAAGATGCGATTTTGACAGTTTTAAATAAAAGCATTGAAAATATCAGGAAACAAAAGGGAACGAATTGTCTTTTGAACGAAGACCCATGCTCCCATTCACTAGTGTTAGATTTCAAAATATCAGGCCTGTGCCCGTACTGCACTTATCAATTGAAACCCCGACTCCCCCCACCCCGGGCCAAGGTGTGGATTTGATTTGACATCATTACAAATCTTAAGAAACCCCCACCCTACTGGGGGCATATTGACTGGTAAAACCCCCAGCTTGGTGGGGAAAGGAATGTTGTTCCCTGACTGACTATATCCATTTAGTTCAAATTTTCTACTTCTTTAGCGTACAAATTTAGCTAAAGTAAAAGCCAAATATGATAAACTGCTGTATATCCAACTCTATCTTCACCTTTTATTTTATATCGTGTAAGAACCCTGTGTAGCAAGACAAAATGTGGGAAATTGATGTTATATTAAAATAGACAGCATAAAATAGTTACTAGGAGCTATACTTTAGATTTTGGACCCTAAAGAATGAGGAAATGTAGCACTTAAGAAACCACGTGGTTTTGATAAACTCTAGAAGTGGAAGAGCATGTATCTGCATTATGTGAGAAGCTTTGATTAAAAAACAATAACATTTTCCAGCCAATGAACCATGAAAGCTCAAGGCAAAATCCCAAAGGATTAATCTAAATGTTGAAATAAAAGGAAAAATAATCATGAAACTTACCTTTCAAATCCGGAATGCCTAAACAAAACTGCAAAGCGCAGCTCATCAAAATCCAGCAAGCCACTCCAGTGACCCCCGACCTCGATGAATGTGTAAAGCAAATCTGGAGAAAATAATTGATCCCCCACCCTCATGGGTGAACTGTGCCTTGAAATACCATAAAAAACCCCCACATTCTCCCACCTTGGCCCAGGGTGGAGGGGGGGGTCGGGATTTCAATTGAGAAGTGCATAAAGATACCAGGACTTTTGATAATCTAGCCCCTAGTCCAGAAATCGAACCAAGGCCACAGCAGAGGCAGACGAGGGTTTTAACCACCTTAGGGCCATTCCTGCTTCCCTGACAGGGACGAAGGACAAAACACAGTAGATAGTTTATCTTTTTTTAGTATACCAAAAAATTTTTCATGAGGTTTGGCACATGACAATCTCATCATAATATTTTGCTGTTTCTCTTTAATAAGGAGACAGAGTTTAATGGTGACAACCCAGAAAAAAGTGAAAAAAGGAAACTTTTAGAGTCATGGCTTAACAAAATCATGAGAATAAAGATCTCTGATGGAAGGACATTAATTGGTTCCTTCCTATGCACCGATCAAGACAGGAATATCATTTTAGGATCATGTCAGGAGTTTGTTGGTTCCTCAGGTACTGAAACTTACCGTTAATGTATAGGTTAACTGACTCACTATACATGGTGCTCATCTCTGGTTTCCTGTACATAAAATGATTGGTGTTATACCCACATTTCCTGAATGGGCTGTCAGTCACTCACAGATAACCTTCCCTTCCACGTAGCATTTTGTCAAGTTTTTCTTAGTGATCATTTGTCTTCCTGAAAGGAATAGTGTAAAAGTAAATTGTCCTCCCTCGGGTAGACATGACTTTCGTATGGGAAAGCATCAGCCAGAGAGTAAGTTTAGACATTAGCTTATTCAGAAAGTCATTCCATTCATTTTACACAGTCTTAATTCCTGCCACACTGTACCAACTGTGTTGGTATGACAAACCGAAAGCTACTAATTAAAAGGATAGTTTAGTTTTATAAACTGAGTTGATAATGTAAAGCCACTTTGTCTCCTTATATCATCATCTTAGCTACTTTGTTTGAAAATTTTTATGCAGATGAGAAAGAAGAGCCACGGATTCTTGGTTTAGCCATGGTACCAGGAAAACACATTGTTTGTATTGAAGTTGATGTGGAGTGATGTTGATGCACATGTAGTTATGAAGCAATCAGAAACACAGTGTTACAGAAAATATGATATCTGTGGAGTGCACACACTTTTCAATGCAATTGTGGAATCACACTCTTGTGGAAAGCTAAAATTTACACCATCCAAGGTGGTAGGAAGTGAATATTTCTAGTTGACTGAACCAAGGAAACCATTCTGAAGCTGGAAGCTATTCAAGTGGAATGACTAGTGAGACATTTTGTTGACAGTACAATCAATCAAAGGAATAGTTTTCTGGTGTCTTGTGACCTTAGGATTTTCGCTAACTTCTGCAATTTGCAACAAACAATGTTCCAATAAGATGCTTCACCCTCTAATTTGCTTTTTCTGAAATAACCAAACTTGTTGTATGATCATCTGTTGGTTCTCTCACTTCCAAGATCTACATATCAATTCTCTCCACTATCTGCTATACATGTCTTTAAGAATGGGTACTGAGAATGGCTTAATATTCCTTTTCTGTCTGCTTGATACTTCAGTGATATTGTTTGAATAACATAGCATGCCACATATACCTCCAAAAAAACACTAAATCACAAAAAAAAATTGTTTCATGTTCTATAAAAACCTGTTTCTCTGAACAACAGTCATCTATGACATTACAACCTTCTGATAATTTCTGAACAATTTTTTTATTCCTCACTATTTTTGTACCCTGCCATCCCATGTCAAGCCATAAACTCTCATCTGATGATAATTATAAGTGACAGATTTAAAATTATTTTACAGTGGAAGCTTACATATTTTCTGTTCAGGTGACAAAAAAACAGGAAGGTTGTGTAATACTGCTGTAAAGTTGCATTAATCATAATAAACTTAATTAAATCTTCAGTGCTTTATTGCTTTGCAATAGGAACGAGAGGCTAGTTTCCTTCTTTAGGAACATAATTTGTGCCAATGTTTAGTCCCAACCAGTGGGACAGGTGATCACTTCATTAGCTCACATAGTGAGGAGGTTTACTCATAACTCATAAAAAGGAGAGTTCAATCCCTAAACAAGTGACTATAATTGCTTTATTTGTTACCTGAAACAAGACTTTTCCCTACAACCTTTTAGACAATGAATCACACATATACTTATTTATAAAAACAGTCTAAATGACAATTGACTTGGTGCTAATTTCAAAGTCAGAAGAATGTTTGAAAAATGTTAACAAAAACTTCTCTGCAACCATGTTTCTTGTCACTAGACACAAGGAATTTCTGAAAACTATTCACAATTAACAATGAAGTAGAGACAGGTAATTGTCATAGTAACATAACTAATGATTTGTAAAGTCAGCTTCTACTTGTTGGTAACCACACAGATCTTATAGTTCAGTTGTTAAAGGCCTTGCTGGCCTATAATCTAGTTCAGCTGTCATCTTCTGAACACGGACTGCATTGCAGTCTTGACATAGAAGGTGATTGTCCAAAGGATAGCAGCCAGTGCCACCCTTTTCTGCTGATAATGGGGCATTGCAGTCCTGAAACAACCAAAAACAAGATGGTAACTGGTGTGAGAAAGTAACTAAATATGTTTTAAGGTTGCTAAATATGTCTGGCTAATTTTTTTCTGCTCAGACGTATGGCCTAAGCATGATGTGCACTGTTCAAATTCTAAGAGAAAGTTTAAGGTATTTGAAGAGTTAATAAACACAAAATTGTGATTCTTCTAAAACATTGTTACTTGAGGTCTTAAATTTCATAAATAAGAGAGGTTTGGGATACCTTACCTCACAAACATAACACTTGACATGGAAGTCCTTATTCATTGAGACGATACGAACTGTTTCCTCTTGACCCTGAGTTAATATTGAACAACATTTTAAAATTTGTCATATTGGTTACATGCAACAAAGACAAAAAAAGTTGCATGATGGGACAGTGCACTTTTAGCCAGTCATGAAATTACACAGATGTCAAGTTACAAGTAACAAGAACTCCAGCAGTAATATCATTTTGACCAAAAGTTGTAAAAACCAGCTTCTGAGTATATACCCTCTTTTTTTGAAAATGAAAGAAAAACAAATACTATCCATATGAAATTTCCCAATAAGATTTCAATTTGTTTCACACAAGTAAATCATTGATGTGAAAAAAGGAACCATAATATTTTTCCCCTGGCTTTATTTTCATTACTGCTCATTGGTGTTCATTTCTGCAATAATCACTCTCATCTTCATTCATTATTCTGTAATTCAAATATATATAATATTCCTTTATCCAATGTCGTTCATTCATCACTTCATGGGTTCATTACAAACCAACAAAATTACTTGCTTTCAGTTGGCTTGTTAGCTCAGTTGGCAGAGCACTGCACCGGCCGGTATCAGAAGTTACGGGTTTAACACCTGTACAGACCTGATTTTTTTTAAAAGCTTCATTTTCACTACTGCTTTCATAGTATTCATTACTGCAATGATCACCTATCATTTATTAATCCCCCAGTTCAAATATATGATAATCATATATTCACAGATGTTCAAGATTCTGAAGGTTATGCAGTAGGAAAACTCAAGACATTATTCAGGCTCAATATCAATGTTGTATTATGGCTATAATACAACACTGATGASGAAATTATTCACCTCTTCAGGGATTATAAGTTGACTGCAAGCTGCACATCTTGGAGAGTACTTCCTGAAATAAGAAAGAACTAGACGTTTTGTCACTGAAACATAAGAGATCAAAATATATGAAACACTCCAAGAAATAGCAAATTGTCAGAAATTTAACTAGCCTGTCAAGCAGAAACTTTGATTGACTAGATTCATTTTATCTAATTATGTTCATCAAGTATACTGCACCTGGAGAAGGTATAAATATTTACTGATGAATATACTGCTAACCTATTTGTAGTAGAGGAAGAAATTTACCCTTCAAATCTATGGTAATATTTTGTGAAATTTTTCTAGCCCCAGTTGTTCAAAGAGAGGATAACACTGTCCACTGTCCTCTTTATCAGGTGAATAGTGTTATGATCTGCCCTTTGAACAACTCAGCCCTGGACTCTTAATTTTTCTATAATCTAAAAAAAAAAAAGAAAAAGAAATTAATTAACCACAATCAGGCTGTTTTTCACACTGTTATCAAATTAACAAATACATTCCATGTGTCTATTCATCAGTGTTCACGTATAGCTCACAGATGATGTCAAAATATGGTACAAGCACAAAAGTGTCGCACAAGGAGCAGCAGAGTGTGTAACCATTCTTACATCAGTGTTACATCATATGTTCATAATACATACCTATAGTAGTCCTCAATGCAGTGGATTTTATTAAAGTTGTCCACGGTGAATTGTACTCCATCAAGTTTTTTTCCACAAAATTCACACACAAAACAGTCTGGATGAAAACACTTTCCAGTAGCTCGTAAAATCTGATTAAAGAATTTTAACATACATTTCAAGCACTTCTCTCCATAAACAAAATCTTACATCAAAATAAATCTGTAAGAAACAATCTAGGGGTGGAGTGGTTGGGGTTGTAATATTCTTTCTCCCTCCCCCTCTAACCTCCTCAATGATTGCTGGATTTGCATGCAGGTAGATTTTACCCAACATTACTGAAGCAGATCTAACAAAGTCATCCAGGTTAACCAGTGACACTCTTCCCCTGAGGCATGATGCCATGTTATGATTCTTCTTCTTTTTTTTTTTTTTTATTTCATCAGCTATGAAGCATCTTAAGGAACACCAAACATTGTAAAGACATTTAACCCTTTACTCCTTCAAGTGATTAACATGTAACTTCTCCCTATAATATCCATACATTATCCAGCAAACAGGTAATGAGAATACTCAAACTTATCAGGTAGAAGTTGTTCTCCTGATCTAACACCAAATTCTCATAACTAATTTACAGGGAAATGTGAAGCAGCTAGAGGGGAGAATTAGAGGTAAGATCTTGGGAGTTTAAGGTTAATGGTAACCAGTAAGTCTGATCACATAAAAGACTATAAGTTCATGTTGTTGAAATGATACAACTTATGAGTTACTTACCCTTTCAGTGATACGGTTGTTACAAACCCAGCAGGTTTCTAGAGTATCCTGCAAGTTAACAGCTTAAGGTAAATTTTAAGTTTTAAATATCACAAATTTAATTTCTTGAATGTGCAATTAAATTGAGGAGTGTTGAAAACAACAACAAGCCAAGAAAATTGAAAGTTATTTTAGGTTTCCTAGAAGTCATCAGTAAAAACAGAAAGAAAGTTCAGCTGATGCTTATTGGGAACTACTTCTTAACATTTTCCATGATCTCTCAAATCACTTTTAAATATTTGATATTATTTTAGCTTCCATGTTGTTTCAGTTGGATACTTGGCAACATTACAAGGAAAAATTGAGTTTTGCAAGAAAGCTAAGTAAACACAAAGTCTCAGGTGAGGGTCCGATTTGCTGTCATAAACAATTGGCCAAAATTTTATAAACATTCTGTCCTTACATCTCTAGATGTAAAATATTTTATTTGTCTCTGTTTAAGCAACAAGTTATATTAGAAAATATTTCCCAGTGTAATACTCACTAGATAGTCTGCCTCACAAAACACCTCCTCTTCCACCTTGTAAAAGACCTGTCCAGTAAGCTGACATCCTAAGAAAACAGGTATGAACTATAGTCAGCTGAGTGACCGAGAAAAAAACAGGACTGAAATAACACAACTTTGAAGAAAAAAACCTGCATGACACGAATTCTAACCAAGATAAAACAGGATTGCTAATGGATGAAATTCCACCAGACCTGAGAATAAAAAAGGGCTGTGCACACACACAGCATGAGATTCAGGGGTCATTTACCTTCCTCTTTGGCAAAATTAATAAACACTGCCATTTTAAAGGCTTTCAAGAACCAGGCTCCTCAGTTGACCAAAAAAAACCTTTGGGAACCCTGAGATCCTTCTAAAACTGTGCCTGGAAAGACCTCTCTCTTGAGGAATGGAAACAAAGTAATCACTTATGCCTGATAAGGACAGGAGCCTCTGGGCAGCTAAGGATAGTCAAAAGGGACACAAATAAGAGCCTGGAAAATATGCTCTCTCCCCCAAGCTCCCTTGGTGCAAAAAAGATTTTGGTACTCTGCTAGGGAAGATTTCTGAAACTAGGTATCTACTTTAAGGGTCTGAAGCACGAAACTGTTTCCAGGACCTGTTTTTATCCAACAGCCTGAACCAACTTAAGATGTAGAGCATCTGTTAACAGGCATGCAGGACCACGTAGTCTTATCTTATCAATAACTAGAGCACCTCCAGGTCCTTTTTATCTTATCTGTTACAGAACAGAAAGGTTAGGCATTGTATACCAGTCAAAGTGTCTAATGCCAAATGCACATTAATCAGAACAGCTGGATGAACATCAAGATCAACTGAGTCACAGGAATACCAACCAATAGCTACTGAAAATTCACTCACCACATTTGACACAGAGGAAGCACTTGATGTGGAATAATTTGTCCATAGCAGTACAACCTGTCCCCTCTCCTGAGACTTTCTGCCCACACTTACTGCAGATTCCTATGAAAACCATAATCATAAAAAATTAATGACATTTTTTCTTATCAAGAATGATGTATCAATTTATTTTTCCTCTATCAAATTCAAATAAATGGCAAGTGTGTTCTGCCCCTGTAACTCCCAAGTTGTGATTTTAAATTCTCTCCTCTAGTTGCTAAACATTTCCATGTAACTGATTAGTTGCAAGAATTTGGTACTAGATGAAGATAACAACTTCTACCTAGTGAGTAGTTTGAATATCCTCATTACCTGTATGCTGGATAATGAATGCATATATCGGAAGAAGATACGTGTTTAACACTCTTCAGAATATTAAAGGATAACATATTCTAGATGGAGGCACACTGTGGACTTTGAAAACATTAAATCTTATGTCAGAGTTCTAACTATGTTCTTTCCAAGCCACTGTTAACAAAAGACTGTTGAGTATTTATTGTTAAATATTCCAGTAAAACTTTTGATGTAATGTCTTACATATTCCTCTAATCTTTCAAACGTCAAAAAATTAAACTTAAGAACACTTTTTTCTGTTTTGCATGAGGTTCCCCTATACGCGTCTGTAAAACTCAGTCACCTAAAAATATTTGGCCTTTTCATGCATCATGATTAATATCCAAACCTTTTTCATGTTCACACGAAACTCTAGACAATCACACTGAATTACTATAATTTTACTTTTCTCATCTTGACCTGTCTTACATGACAAAAGATGATCTCATGTCTTATCTTAGTAGTTTGAGAGCCAGTTGTGGTCTGTTTTGTGACTTTTATTGATCCACACGAAGACCATCCCCTGTGAATACCTAACCCCATGTCGTTCGAGAACAATACAAACATTTTAAAAAGGAATAAAATAGCCACAAATTCACCAGGCAAAACAAAATGGTTCAATAATCTCATTTATTAAATTTAGCTCTTAATTCAAGGGTCACATTTAAATAAAACAAATCCGTTCATGTGGAAATGAAAAGATCTTACTATCTAAATAAAAAATTAAAATGACCATTCATCAGAAAAAAAAATCGCCCAATTATACTTCACATAAAAAGTATAGGACAACCTCTTGTATGGTTTCTCAAAATCAAAAAAAGCTGTGACACAATATATAAATAGGAAAGCCACTAGTGTCAGTTCTCTGATTAACCTCTGACCATCTGAAACGATCAGAGATGTTCAGGATGTTGTGATTTGAATTCAAAATTCAGCCTAATCTGGGGAAAATGGTAAATTTTCTGATCTTTTAGAGTCCATCTAGAGTTCATTAAGAAAACCAGCTTGTTCCCCTTATCACTTTACCTAAGTAACGCCATCCAAACGGATGTTGTGAACAATTAAGATAATTGACCTATCAAACAGACATACACTTTGCTGCAAATATGGACATTTTGAGTTATCTCTTTAAGGAGAACAGTTTGTAACTGAATGATGTAGCAGCTGCAAATGAGAAGCACACCGGAGCAATTCCAAACAGGACATTTCTATAAGTTCGTAAGCAGAACGACACCCAAGAAAGGAATGTGAAAGATTTTAACAATTTCAGTTTTCTGCAAGGGTCAATTTATTATTCATACAGATTTTTTAATTATACGCTAACACAGAAAAAGTAACAACAAAACAGCTTTCATTTTTTTAAAGGAAGAAGTCATTAACCGGTATGCATTTTTGAGCTTCGCTGTGTATGTTACTTTTAACCCTGAAATACGACTGACCAGCACAAAAAATATCCTCTCCATTTTTTTGGCAAATTACGTGTCTGAGAAAAGTTCATCTGTTTAGTGTATATTAGGCCTTAATGAATTTGCGTGGATTAACATCAGTAAATGTCGACGTAATTTTTAAAGCTGGTTAAGTACTCTTGCATTAGTGAGACTGAAAATTAAATTGTAAGAAAAGAGCGATAGAAGGAATGACCCGCTGTAAGTAAAGTCAGTGTTACCAATTTTCTGACCCGTTGTGTGTTTTGACACAACACTCAAATCTAAAGTTAAACCACGTCTGTTCATTGCACAGGATTAATAAAACCTGACCATGTAAATCCAGTCGAGGAAAAAGCCTCGACGAATTAAGAATTATAAACAGATTTTCCCAAAACCCAAGCAATGCTTAGAGAGAACTGCAAAAGAAGCCCTAGCGAAAAACGCGATACTGAATACAATAACAATGGGTAAACATCAGCAATGTGGCACAGCTTAGTGCCTTACCGAAAAAATCTGGATCGCCTGTATTCTCCAAATTTTTCACAAGAAGATCAGTCAGTGCATCAAGTTCTTCTTCAGTGCTTTTCATTCCACCTGAAGACTGAAGCGATGGTGGTGGCGGTCTGGAATTCGCCTTCGTTAACCGTGTGGCTGTCATTCTGACAGGCTTCGGCGAAACAGGCGGTGGAATCTTTTTACCTGTTGCTGGGTCTAAGCGAACTGGAGTCCTGGAGGCCATTGTTATCAGCAAACACAAGGTCAGTCAACCGCTACGGTGTATTGTACTCTTAACAAAGTGAACTGTAGCTCAGCTTGTGGGTTTGCCTTGTTTGGAACGACTATATAATGTGACGGAATGAGAAGAATTCGGACGTAAAGAGGGTGGGGAGGGAGTCATATCCGAAAATTTAGGAGGGTACCAGGGTCAGGCTAGGTCTTTTCTAAAGATATAGTACCTAAAAATAGTTTGCATACCTTTATGATACAACTTTTTGCAATGTCTGGTTTCGCGAAAAATTAACAGTCGCCGTATTTAGCGAGGCACTATTTTCAGGATTTGACAGAAAAACTGTGTTGAAGCAATGAAGAAGACCCATATGTTTTGATTCATGGGATTACCGAACTTCGACAAAGTTCGAGGCGATGGTTTCTGTATTTTTTTATCCTTTAAAAGATGATCTTATGACGTATTAATAACTGTACATCCTGTAAGACCAAAAACGCTTACAGATAAGCTCTTCCTGTATGTTATTTGTGTGTAATTTGCATGGCAACGAAACTAACAACATGATCATTTTGACATTCCCAAATACAACACTTCAGGGATCTGAATGTCAAAGGTCATAATAAAGGTTCTACACATCAAATTTTGAGTGGCTAATTTTTATGTCATTCCTATTTAGAGAAATTTATTACCATTAGGGGATCTGTTCGGAAATTCTCAAAAATTAAATGCTTGCAGATTTCTCAAAATCAGTTATAAAAATAGACCAATCTTGCATGTTTTGGGCAAAAATTTCAAGTTTGTGTACGGAATTATGCGTAAAATTGTCCACGTTAACTTAAAATCCTGATAAGGGTAATGAAAATCTTATTTTTCCCAGCATTATCACCCCTGAATCAAATGTTAATGTCACGAGAATAAATGAAATGATTGCAAACTTGACAAGCTCTTGATTTTTAGAAAAGTTCTCCTTTTAAATACCTTACGAGATAAATGGAGAAAAATATCATCTTAGAGTGTTAGGGTTAAAACTGTGGAGGCAACAAAAGCAACAAAAATAACTTTCGAGAAAACACAGATGCATGCCGTTTATCAAGAAGTTGATCAAGTCTAATCAGTTCCCAAAGCCGCTACGATAATTCTGACTTATAAGTAAGGATTGTTTCTTGAAAATAACGGGGAATTCGAAACACAATGCTCAACCATGCCGAATAAGCCCCAAGTATTCCTGACTGATATCATTAACTGCTCTAATTATAAAAATCACAATATTTCTTAGACATTCCGTAAACTTCTGAATATCCCCCCAAAATATCCGGATACTCAGTGAAAGGCTTGGGACGGGTTCTTGTCATAATCACCTAGCCCAAGTAGCGAAAAGGCGCCAGTAGTATTTCCGCCAGACGACAAATTACCTTATATAGGGAATTTCTTTGAACCCACACTGATAATGAATCGGAAATCAGACCGAAGTATTAAATGCTTGTCATCGGCTTGCAATTGCTTCGGGTTTATTTCACACGAAAAAAAATGAACTTGATTGAGGTTCTGGTTTTTCTGTAACAGTAGATATTAATATTCCCTCACTTAAAACCCTCTTAAAACGTTTTTCAGTAAATTGGATTTATCACTCCTTTTTGCATGAGATCGAAGGGCGTTACAACCTCGTGGAATGGATAGAAAAAAAAATTATTCGGATATCCAGAATGCTTTGGTGACCGGACATGGACATCATTCTTGGATGACCGACCATTGACGTACGTCACGCAGTAAATCTCATTTTTGATTTTGGGTTTAATTTCTAAAGAAAAAATTAGATTAGAGAGGTTGACTGGGAATCTGTCGGTGGAAACTAATGGTTGGTCAGTTGTAAACGATCTCTGGACAAGTTTCAAAGGCTCATTTGTGTCCATTGTGGATAAGCATGCCCCATTGATAACTAAAAAGGTACGTGGTCTTACCTGTCCTTGGATGAATGGATCGATTAAACATGAAATTGGTCAGCGTGAGTTCCTGTTAAATAAAGCTAGGCGTTCAAATTTGGATGCATCTCCGGAGACCCAGGGGTTGTGAGTCGATTTCAAGTTAAGGGCAGAAGAGCTCTTCTGCCCTTAACTTGAAATCGACTCACAGCCCCTGGGTCTCCGAGGATGATTTGGATGAAGAGTGGTCGGCGTTTAGGAGATCTCGAAATCGTGTTACAAAACTTGTCCGTGATTCAAAGAGTAAATATAGCAGAGAACTCATTGATGAAAACAGTGACGATCCTAAAAAGTTTTGGAAAACCATTAAGCAGATCATGCCTGGTCAGAAAACAAAGCGTGTTACCAGTATTGATGTTAATGGAA